TGTAAGACAGCATAGCATTTCAAATGAAACATTATCTATATGAAGAGAATCACAGAGCTTTCAGCCCGCTTCCCTCCTCTGTACTGCACCGTACAGTTTAAAGGCTTATTGAAGTCAGAAACCAAAGGAACAAAGGTAAGGACCGACTCCATCATCCACGTCCATTTGTTCACCATTTTGGACGTCGTCGTTGTGGTTCCAGACCGACTCCAGGAGAGACGAGGGGGCATATTTGGGCAGGTATGAAAAACAGAGCAGGAGGCCGTCACTGTATCCCGGATCTCCACAGATAAGGATGGAGGTGGGGCACTGCCTGTAAAATGGAGAAAATTCACCAGTTTTACCCTTAAAACAATGAATTAATCATGTTTTACTGTCTACAAGCATTCAGTCAGATCTTTTGCTTTTGCAGCTAACTATTTATTCTCTAACATACGGATATTATTGTTAAATGTAGCTGCAAAGCTGACTTTGAAAGACTTTTCAAGTAAAAACTGCTTTAAATTCCTAGAGACACTAGGGGAAATTGTTTATTGATGCAGATGTAAAAATGTAAACAGTTAAGACAATCTTATTTTTAAAGGGTTTGATCGCAAATGAAGAAAAAGTTTAAATCTTTTGAAGAGGGGCTCCATGGAACGCTTATGAGCAGTAAGTATCATATCTGTTGTGGGTGGCTTCTTGAACAATCTCAATTTGAAGAACCTGAGTTTAAATTTTGACCGGATTGACAATCTAAGTGGTGTCGAAAATGTCTTAAAATTTTTATTTTATGTCTTAAAATATCAGCAATCCCGAACACTTCAGATATAATCATTTACAAAAGTAAGCACATATAACACTTTTAGAATAGCCTGGGACACTGCAAGTGTAAATTTGACAAAATATTGAATAGTGCAAGTTTAACAGTGGTGTAAAGGTTTTTTACAACTGTGCTTGCATCAACCACAATATACCTTTTTTAATATATAATTTTGTTTTAAGAGAAGTCGTCAGATCAGCAATCTGGTATTTTATTATTTTTCCAAACAGATTGTATAAGGAGCTGCCTACAACAGGTAAGATTTCAAAAAGTTATACTTCTTCCACAAATCCCCATTTTAAACATCTGAACTATCCCTATGATGTAAAGACCTTGAAATATTCATAAAATCACTTTTAATGCTCACGTAAGACATCAATGGTCACAGTATTTTCCAAGAAGGAGTAGCGTTTGTATCCTGGCAGTTCAATCCTGAAGTAAAAAGGCCCGACGTCTGTGGTTCGGACACCATCCAGCAGCATGGTGCAGTTGCCTCCTTGAAGCTTTCCCAGAAACTGGGTTCGCTTTTTGTACTCTGCCGTCAGTTTCCAATTGCGAATATTGGTTGAGACTATTTTGTTCCCTGTCCTCCAGAAACCTAGCCATCTGTTCAGGATTTTCTTTGGCTTGGGGTACGCGTAGATGCAGGAAAAAACCACACACGAGCCCTGGACAGCAGGAATCTTTGTCGGCACGTCTATTAACCACTGACCTTCAGCAGGCTCCGCATCAGGGATAACTGAAACAAGAAAACAAAACAGAATATTTATACTCAAGTACAAAACGACATGATTTATATTGTTACATTTAAAAAAATTCACTCACCACAAAACATCAGAAAGGAAAGACACAACTTCAGCTCCATTGTTGGATGATTAAGAAGTCTAAAACCAAGTGTAAAGGTCAGGTGTGACTCACTGGATGTTAGCTTCACTTCTTCAGAACTGGTCATTGGGTATTTTGTGCTCAAAGTGCCCCTGCCTGATGTTTATACGGGGCCAGCAAAGGCCTTGAAAACAAGAGTTGTTGCAATGTTTAATCAAGCATTCTTCTGTTCGATATTTAACATGTTACATTTTGCATTTTCTTCTTTCAAGTTCAAGGAGAAGCACAGCAGTTACATGTGTTTTGCTGCTTGTTGAATGGCAACAAATGGGGAAAAAACGTTTATTAAAGAGGTATGTGAACATTGTCATGTGGAATCCATCCAAGCATCTTTGCTTTGAAATAAAAGCACAAGTCAGTCCAATGTGGACAGAAATCATGTGATAATTTAAAGTTTGAAAACTTGTAATATTTCTGAACCAGTACGCTCCCTAAAACTGATTAGATTAGTCACACACTAGGACAATTAAAATCTGAGCTAAAAAAAACCCCCACAGTCATCCAGTACTTTTAGGGGTCGTTCACAAATTTCATCATTTTCACAAGCGTAAAGAACATGCTCTTTTTTTGTCATATGGGAAAGTAGCAACAAAAACTGTCATCTTTTTTTTATTTTGAAAAGCGTACACCAGTCCTTGACCCCCTCCCTTCCCTCCAGCATACGGTTTGTACGCTTATAAAAATGATGAAAGCAGTGACCTGCTCTTTATACATGTCTAACTATAATCCTGATGCATGCTCATATAGGGTCTAACTATAATGTTATATAATTTGCATTTAACCTTTTATGTGAATCATTTTGAGGCAAATTTGTATTTTTTTATATCTAATTATGAATAAAAATATTACACACTTTTTGAGAAAACCACCATTGTTGAAATGTACACCACAGTTTTAAGCGTTTCTGTTATTGATGCATTTTATCACCCGCCACAGAAAGCTTGTGTCTGTGTTTATTTGTTAGTTAAATATCTCGTGAATTACTGGAAATGTTTTAAATAAACTTTCAGAAAGAAATCACTGGATGCACATTTAACTCATTAACTTTTGGCGTCGCTGAAAGTCCCACACAACACCTACTTTCAGCTCAAACAGATCTCACAAAACTGCATGTGAGGTCATCAGCAGGGTTTGACCAAAGCAGCTGAAACTCCGTCCCTAAATGCAGCGGGCGATATGCAATCCTGCAAGGAATAATAGGCCTTTAATTTTTTTTTTTCACTTTTAACCACAAATTTAAAAAAAAAAAAAAATGGAATTTTGATCAGAGAGTCAGAGTTTCTTTATTTGTCATTCCACCTCATGTGGTGCATGTGGTGGATCAAAATTATGTACACAGGGTCCCAGTTACATCTAACAATAAAATGTAAAAGAAAAATAGTAATAAGATCTAAGACATGAACTAAGAAAAACATAAATTAAAAATACACTAAGCACTAATAGCATAAAAACAATACGCTGAACAGCAGCATGAACATGAGTCTGTGTGAGCTGATGAGCAGGAATGAACACAACATGAAACAGATCAGCAGCAACATGAAACAGATCAGCAGCAACATGATGTGATTTTTCACAGTGATTGTTCTGGTTAGAGATTCATGAGTCTAACAGCTTCAGGGTAGAAGCTGTTCCTCAGCCTAGTTGTTCTACACTTAATGCTCCTCAACCTCCTAACTGAGGGGAAAGGGGCAAAACGTGTGTGCGCTGGGTGAGCGGGGTCCTTCATGATGCAGGTGGCTCTCTTCCTGCATCTGGAGGTGTAGATGTCTGTGATGGTGGGGAGACTGACTCCAACAGACTTCACCACTCTCTGCAAAGCTTTTCTTTCTGCGGCTGGTCATTAGCATTATGAATGAACAAAGTCTACTGCTGAGGGTGAATTTTGTTTATCGGGTCGTGTAATACTTTGTAAGACATGACTAATGGTGAACCTTGATGGAAATAATGCCATGAAGTCTGGGTTGAGGCCCTGACCCAGTGCATCTTCTCTGGCTGAGTGTACGAGTGACAAGTAAAAGCTGCTGTGGCACAAAGGATAAGAATAGTATAAGAGCTTTGTGAAAACCTGTGAAGGGTGTGTGTGTGTGGGGGGGATTATTTTTGGATTCTGATGCTCTTCGGCTGATTAACGTTTTCTGCACCTCTTCAATAAACCCTGGTTTTTGCAGCTGTTAAGAGATTCATTGTGATCTGTTTTTTTTTTTTAAATGAAAGATCAAGTCTTTACTTGTTGCTTTGGCTACAACACTTTTATGTTAACTTCAATTACTTTGAAGTTTATAATCTGAAATAAACATAAACCTAAAGTTTGCAAATTATGAATTATTTTGTTGAGTCCTTTATGTTTGGAACAAATTGCCACAGTAGTGTGTATGTGTGTGTGTGTTCTCACATGCAGAACTCTGTTACTGTCAAGGTTACTGAAGTTTTGTTTCTCGGTAGAATCTTATCAGCCGCCTTCGTTTGGTACAAATTATCTTCTAAATTCTGCTTGCATTGGTGTATTTTCTCAACAATGCTACAAGGTCAGGGCTTACGATTCTGGAAATGACAAACTTCATGATTTAAAAATATATATTTTTATTATTTTTCTATTCATAGTGCTTCCTCAGCAAGAAAACAATTGCATTATACTGTTATACTGATCATATGTGAGACTTGGGCAGCACGGTGGCACAGTTGATAGAGCTGCCTCTCAGGGAGAAGGTTGCAGGATCAAATCCTGGCTGACGACTTTTCTGGGTGGAATTTGCATGTTCTCTCTGAGCATGCATGGGTTTTCTTCGAATTCCTCCCGCAGACCAGAAATAAGCACATTAGGCTGATTGGTTTGAGTGGTTGTGTGTACCTGTGATGGACTGGCGACTTGTCCAGAGTGTGTCTGCCTCTCACACTGTGTAAGTTGAACATGGGCACAAGTGACCCTCGCAACCCAGAAAGGAAGCAGTTGGTAAAAATAATGGATGGATGGAAAGGCAAGTCTTTTGTCCTGTAAAGTACTAGCTAGTCAAACACTGCTGTTTATTTTATATTTCATAGATTTTTTTTACTGACCAGTATTCACTGTAATGTTGGAACTGCAATTAAATTATACAATGTAATAAACAGCACGTCAAGTACCATACCATACCAGCTTTATTTATAGAGCACTTTAAACACCTGTTGGATAAATAAATATTCTTTCATCATCTCTATTTACTCAAATAATCCACTCTGAGGACACAAGAAGATTTTTAACCGGTCTTTAAAGACAAGGGTAGACGATCATGAGGAATCTTTCACAGATGTACTAAAGTTACATGTTTTGAGCCTCGTCAGTGAGAATCAGCGCCTGACAGTGAGGCAGGAAGTGCTTTATAATACACGTTTATCAGACAGAAGTGAGGTCAAGATGAACTCGGCTTTCAAGCTTACACGGAGAAGGCCTTAAAGTTTATTAGGTGCTCCTGCAGGCTCCTCTCTGTGTAGACAAAACACTCTCGACCTCACACACACAGTTCAACATTAATTTAATATTAGTTAAATAGTAAAATCATTAAAATAATGTAAAATAAAGTAAGAAAAAGTAAGATAAAGCAACGTAATGATGCAAAAACCCAATAATTTATATTGTATTCTTTTGTTCTCAAAAATGAAACAGAGTTGAAGGGTTTTCACACAATTTTATAAATAATATTTTATTGCAAACATTTAAAACATGAATCATCGAGCAGAGGTGAACAGCTCAAACTTCCTCTCTGAACCATCATAGCTCTTGGGTAATCGGCTCATATTTAGCTCACTGTTTACACCCAGGTCACAGAGCAGTGAAAGAAGATTAAACAGGAGACACATTATAACATTTTCATTTTAGACACAAAACCTGAAATTTCTATTTAAACGTAGAACAAGAAACTCAAAAAGAAAGGAAAATGCTTAAATCGTTGCACAAACAAATGCACGGCCTTTTGCTTTACCGCCAAACTTCCTTCTTTTTTTTTTTTTTTTTTTTTAGATTAGAAAAATAATTTAGCAGAAAACAGAACTTCAAGCGTTTTAGTTAAATTGCAAAACTGAAAGGTGAAATACTTGATATAGTTTCCTGTCCCTCTCTGTTGTGCAACACTCGCTGCCTCCAAGGCTTTATGTTCTTCTAATGATCCCTTTTGGTCATGTTTTATGCTCATGCTAACATTGTAAAAGTTAGAGAAAAAGAAAAAATTACACCTTAAAAATACCAAACAAGAAAAGCAAACCCCTTAAATCCATTTCATTACCATGCCCATACATGACCCACTTTTCTCCACAATGCTGCTACAGATTTAAAGATGCTGAGTTTTCCCGTGTTCCGCTGTTTCAAATCGTTTATTTCAAGTTGAATTATCCATGTTAGCATAAATATTTTCTGTGTGTTTCATGTTTTGGCTCATCTGATGTGTTGGTGCCTACAAAAGATTTTTTTTTAAAACAGTTAATATCACAGTTGTTTGTTAAAAAAAAAAAAAATCACAAGACTTATTCTGTAGTTTTCTTAGAAAATAAATCGACACTCACTGATCAAAACAGTTAAGCACCCAGAAGAAATGGTCTAATTAGGATGTGTGTTTAGTGCTGGGTATGTAAAAGACTTTATTTGCATGGAGCTGACAAAGCCTAGAAAAGTCCACAGAGGGCATAAGTGGAGTGATACGTTATCAAGCAGTTGCCAGAGTGTCCGAGTCAGTCAAAGCAGTGAGTGAAGATCAGCAGACATGTTTCATAAATGCATTAGACAGCATCCCCAGCACTTGTTGGAGTTTGATAGGGGTCACATTGAGGGTTTGCATTAGGCTGGGTGATGTTCCCAAGACTTGATATTAGAAGCTTGTGGGTACCTAAGGGCACATTTAGGGGAGGATTGTGTTATTGTGCACCAAGTAACAGAGAACCTCATGACATTTGGACTTGACATCTAGACACAGCTGGAGACGGGCGCTATAACCAATAGTCTGACAATGATTGGTCTCATTTTGTGTGCAGTGGTAATGCCTTGGAGAGGGGAGATCAACCCTACCAATGAGACCCACTGCTATTACAACTGACAACCTGGTGTGTGAGTGTTTGGTATGACTTTCAGGCCACTTCTGGTGGTGATTTGGGAGACCAAGATGGCACATCCGTAACATCCTATGTTCATGTCTGACCCCTGTTGAAACACCACCCTAGTACAGTCCTATGTTCAGAATGAACCTTGGCGTGCCTGGCCACACATGGCACATGTGTTTATGGTTTGTCGGCATCATATTGAGGTCCTGCCATGGCCAGACATGTCCCACGATCACTCACCAATCAGTGATACATATGATTAGTTTGGATGTCACTTCCAACCCAGTGCCAACCTCATGGATTTTGAGGACAACTGTGGGCTGACTTATGGCAGAAGAGGAAACAACAGCTGTTTAATTTCTCTAGTTCCAAAAGTAGTTCACCATATCCTAAGAGAAGACCTGCAGTGTGCCCATGCTGCCAACTCTATCTGCTTCTTCTGATAGGAACTTCAATACAGGCATAAGACCTATTAATATATGCAGTTTAATTTAATTCCCACCACTCTTTCTGGGTGCTTAGCTTTCTATTTTTTTTGACAGTGAGTGTATTTTCATTTAAAGATATGAAATTTACCTGAACGTTGATATAGATGGGTTCATCGATGACTTTTTCAGTTGGCTTCATGTCCACTGTTTTGCAAGTGGCTTCACTGAAAACATAAAAAAAAAAAAAAAACTCTTGTTTGAGTACTGAACAAATTGGGTTGTGTTTTTAGATAACACATCTGGACAAAAGACACAGATGTCTTTTCAAATAAAATAAAAATACTCAAATGAAACATGCTTCAAACGGTCCAGTACAAAATACCCATTAAATGATCATGTAAAACCTTTTGGGTGGGTCTGTAGTCGCTCGGCTGAAGTTGACATAATATCCAGATTCCTGCCGAGTTAACGTGTGTGACCTGGGAAGATGAGATAAAACTGTATTAACACTTAAACCATCCTCGTGTTTCCACAAAAACATAATACAGGCAGAACATGGATCTCAGAAATAGGTCAAATATTTTACTCCATTCAGATTTATTTATATGGCATATTGTTTGTACATAGTGATAGTGTCTTCTTTAAGTGAAAATACTCTTAGTTCAGCGATGACATAAATAAAATTATAGAAATGAGAGGTGGAGGTTTGGACATGTGTCACAAAGCATCTGCAATTTGATCTATTTAGCTAACACAAATTAAAAATATATATATATTTTAAACATTAGTATTTGCTGATGGAATGCACAGTTCCCATCCACTTCTATGCCAGTTTTAAACAACATTATATTATGTTAAAAAATAATGGAGTTGTAGCTGTTTTGAAAAATGAAAATGTTATGCATGACGTGCAATATTATAAAATATTTACATTTCATTTAACAATATGGTGGTCTTCTTCATGTCATATACAGCACAAATTATGTGCTGCAAATGACCTGAAGCTTCTACCATGTCAATTTTTAGCTTAATATTTATAAAATCTATTGAGTTATAGCTGTTTTTATGTTTGCCAAGGTTGATCATCTTTGGCAGCCATCCTGAATCAGGTTGGCTCCAAACGTTAATCAGCTGAAGACGTCCATCCAGTAATTATTTTCTGAATGTTTCATTCAAATCCATCCAGTGGTCCATGAGCAATTGTGCTAACAGACGATTGACTCCTAGCAACTAGTGCTAAGGTTTTACTTAAAGATCTTGTGTGATGAGTAGATGGTTGAGTATATGTTGTGATTGACTCCCAGCTTTAACTGCACTGAATTCTAGGTCAATATCTGTAAAACAGTTATAGTCATTGTGTGATTTTTAGGTTCAGTTGGCTGTGGCAGTCATTTTGAATCAAGTTGACCCTGTACATTAACAGTGGTAAATATACAAGCAATGAATACCTTCTGAGAAATATTAAAATTTGTGGTGTAATAGGTATTTTGGTAACCAACAGACCAACACATATTTTACCTCCTATTCTCTTTATACCTGCTGCCGCTTGGTGCTATTTTCCGGAAACACAACATGCCCTTCCACTTCTACGCCGATGACTGTCAAATTTACTTCCCCCTAAGACACAATGGCACATGCTCTATTCAACCTCTGCTCGACTGCCTGGCTGACATCAGGGACTGGATGGCTTTAAATTTCTTAAGTTTCAATGAAAAGAAGTCTGAAGTCATGTTGTTCCCTCCCAACGACACGATCACAAACCACTGCGTCGACCTCTCCGCTCTAACCCTGTCAGAAAAACAAAGAGTCACTAATCTGGGCGTGATAATGGACCCTTCCCTGAAACTTAACAATCATGTAAACATGATCGTTAAATCATGCTTCTTCCAACTGAGGCGGCTGTCTAAACTGAAGCCCATATTGTCCAAAAAGAACCTGGAGACAGTAATACATGCATTCATCACATCTAGGCTTGATTACTGCAATTCACTCCTGTTTGGTATCAGTCAGACCTCCATTGCACGACTACAACTGGTCCAGAATGCAGCAGCCCGATTTTTAACCAGTACAGGCAAAAGAGAGCACATTACTCCAGTTTTGGCCTCACTGCACTGGTTACCGGTTCACTTTCAAATCCAGTTCAAAATACTCATGTATGTCTACAAATCATTGAACAGTCCCCCCCCCACATCTCTCTGATCTGCTACAACTGTATGTCCCACCACGTTCCCTGAGGTCAGCGGACCAGTTGCTCCTCACAGTTCCAGGAACTCGTCTTAAGCACAGAGGTGACAGGGCCTTCTCTGTAGCAGGACCAAGACTTTGGAACGAGTTACCTCTGCTTGTAAGAAAGGCCCCCTCCCTCTCGGTTTTCAAGTCCCATTTAAAAACTCACTACTATTCAATAGCTTTCAACACCAGATGATCTGTGTTTTGAACCAGTATGCTCCACACTGGTTTGTCGTCATATTTATTATCTGCATCGTTTTTATGTCTATATTTCTGATTTACTTCATTTTGTATATTGCTTTGTGTGTTACCTGGTGTTTCTGTCTGTACAGCACTTTGGTTGGCCTTGTCGCTGTTTTAAGTGCTCTATAAATAAAATGGTATGGTATGGCATATACACACACACATACGCAAAGATGCGCAAAACTTTGACTACCCTTTCATCTTTCGTGGTGCACAATGAAAGTCTCCTCTGTTCAAGTTTCAGAAAACTACAGTATGTTTATGTAAAGTTGCTTTATGTCTTATTTTTGGTTTAATTCTTTTTTTTTTTCCATTTACAATGATGCATGTTTTGTTAGTTTGTCACATGCAAACAACAGCTTTAAATACATGTAAACACCGTTTATGCTCACAAGTACCACACTTTATTCAAAAATATATAAAAAAAATTAGTTTTACCTCTTGCGTTTTGTGTAGACAATAATTCCAAGAATGATAATGAACAGAAGAGCAATAACTGGTATAAAAATGGCCAGATTGATATGAATGTTTCCAGGTGGACTGGATAAGGAGATGGCTGTGAATGGTAATGATAACAGTTAGAAAAGCTCAACTACATATTTAATTTAATCTAATATCCGCATAGATCTTTCTAAGAAACAGTGTGAGTAAATATCACTTACTTGTACTTTCTGGTATTTCGAGAGTTGTAGTTGCGTAACTTGAAGACTCTGTTGTATTAAAAAAAAAAACCTTTGAGTTTTAATGATTTAGCATTTAATCCAGTGATGTTTTGAAACTTAAAGTTGGGAGGAAAATATTCAGAAACGTTGCATGGAGGCAAAATGAGAACAGAAAAGAAAGATAGAGTTTTTGAAGAATAAAGTGAATTAAAAAGTCATACCTGCCCAAATAAATGATGGTGTGTTACCTGACCATGTGAGAGAAACATCCAAAATATTATTATTACTGCATTTAGTCAAATAAGAATAGTTATTATTTTTTAAAATACTGAATTTCTAACCATTCACAGAAATGACGACTTGGTAATTTCTGAAGGAGTATTTGTCTTTACTTGTAATAAGACGCATGTAGATTTTTCTACTTTCCTGAATGTTGGCGATTTCCAGACTACAGTCTCCATCGAACTTATTTCCAATCAGCTTTGTCTGTTTGTATTTTGGAAGCACACAAGAGCTATTGGGGTGGAAAACGAAGGCTTTCTTATCTTTGTCATCCTTGCTGCATTCACTTGTCCCATTTGTTTTCCAGAAAACTTCTTCAACTTGTTGTTTCGGGGGATAGGTAAAGGTGCACGGTATCTTTAGGTTTGAGCCCTTTATTGCATTAAAACTTTTATTGACATTTATTGTCCAGAGATTACCTGCATTAGCAAACAAACCAGAGAAATGTCAGTAATAAAGTTTACACCTCATCTCAAGTTTGTAAGCTCATAGTCACCTACCTTTTGAATATGGTACCAAAATCAATATGAACGCGAGTTCAGCCAGCGTTAGCATCCACATCTGAGCCGACAAAACACAATGACGTTAACAGTCCAAAACTTTAACATTTCATCTGTTTTACAGCTGAATCTAACACAACAAACTATCTGTACTCTTCTATTTACCAGCTAAAATAATACTCACTGTGCGAAGGACCCAGGCAAGATCAGAATGTTTTTGGGTTTTTTTTTAAACTTTGTTTGTATCAGTTCCGAGCATATATGTGAAAATTCTTGGGTGTGCTTCTTGTTGCGCTGTGGCGACTTAAAAAAAAAAAAAAGGAAGGAAGTTCAAGAAAAATTAGATTACCCACAGTGTAACTGAGCCACTCACAGCTCTATGTGAGAAAACACTGTGAGATGCTTTGTAACGCTAATATGTGAAAAGTTAATCAAACATACTACAATGTTAATCATTTGTTCCACCTGCCTTACAAACAGTGAAGGCATTAGAATAAAACGTATGTGTTGTTGATATCTCAGTCTGGAGAATAAATATAATAAGAATTAAATAGAATTAAAATCATAGTTTTGCTGTCATTATCAAAAAAAATAGGAGTTTAAGAAAAAACAAAGTTCTACATCACTTTAACAGATTCATATTTTGTATGACACATTTAACGGGAAGCATAAAAAACTAGAACATTTCAAAAGAAAATTTTGAGGGTTCTTCAACTTTTTTTCTGTAAACACCAATGGGAATTTGAGAATTTGCTTTCAACAGTCAAAGCTGCTTATATTTAATTGATAAACAGCGTAAAACGTTTAATGAGAACTGAGATCAAAATAAGGGTTGAAGCTGCTACCAGTGACTTGCTGGGGTCACCACTGTAACCCCACATCTGTGTTTCTTACACTAACCACACTCCTAATAAAAACAGGCAGAAACACAGATCAGAGTGTAAGCCTCAAAATAACACTCACTGTACTAAAACTATAGGTCGTGATGGTAGAAACATCTGGGTGCCATATAATATTTTTTTATGTTCCTACAGTGTTTTATGTTGGAAATATGCAAAGTACTTTGTAAAACAGACCTTTCAGTTTGGAAAAGAAAATTATAATGAAAGTCAGTGAGAGTGTGAATGTGCACACTCTGCACTCTGTGGGTGTTTAAAAGAAGAAAAGGTAGAGCAGAGAGAGACACACTGGGTGAAAGAAGACAAACATGCCTACGCTTTGACGTATAAACTGAAGAAGAAGTAAAATGTTTGTGGGAATAGGAAGAGTTTGCAACAATTTTTGAACGTTTTGGCAGCTCAAATGCCAGAGCATGTGTCATCAATGCATTCTGCCTTAAGTCTTCAAAATTAAAAAAAAAAAAAACAGTGACTTTATGCATAACAATATCAAAAAACCTAATTTTGCCAATCTTGTGTGACCTGTTTAAACTTTAAATGATGTTTCCTCTGTGGAATTTGTTTAAGCAACAGAGCAACAAAGAGGGCTGGGTTTTGTTCACCAACATCTCATTGTTGTGTACCATTGTTGCATTATTTTGTGAATTTTGTCTACACTGTACAATAGACTGCTACCAAACATCATATATTCACAACTAGCGTGCTTGTTTTAAAGATCCCCCACCCCCCGCCCATTTTTTAAACCTGCAGTAGTTATAGCAAATCAAAATTAATGATGACAATGAAATAATAACAGATGTAATGCAAGTGTTTCGGTCAGGGCCAGCTGGAGGTTATGTGGGCTCTAAGCAGAATTGTATTTGCCGTTTGCGTTGTACTATTATTGTTTAGCGTATTCTTAGTTTAGCATATTTCTTAGTTCATATCTTACATCTTATTAGCTTCTTTTCTTTTACAATTTACACTTTGTTGGATGTAATGGGACCCTGTGTACACAATTTTGTTCCACTACATGTACCGAGATGTGAATGACAATAAAGTAACCTTGACCTTGACCTTGACCTTGACCGTTGAGCCTATCACCCACTCACCAGTACAACACCTCAAACGTCTCTTTCAGTAATCCATGCGTCATCATTTGTGCATTCAAAATATTATTTTTTTAGTGAGCAACTATGAATTCTTCAAATTGACTTAAAGGGATAGTCTAGTGACTATCCCTTTAAAACTAGATTCTAGTCCTTTTTAAATTACTTTTCTTACAATAAGTTATCAGCCATGACATCACTCATCGAGCATGAAGTAATGGGAAAGAGACTAAAGTCTTCATCCAGGCTAGGCTAAATGATTGCAGGTTTTTAGGCCTACAAAGCAACTCTCTCAAAAACACACTGGTATAGCTACTTTCACTAATCCAACATTTTTCAGTCAGGTCATCTGGACACCTGGGAAGAATCGGTTTTGTTGTGTGTTTCCTTGACTGGTGAAGCCTTCCGGATCGAAGGCGAAACGTTTCAGCACAAAAAAAGAAACTGTCCAGATGACCTGACTGAAAAATGTTGGATTTTATACCTGGATTATTGAGCATGGACTTTGTTGTTTTCAACCAGTTTGACAAGACTGTCACCAAGGAAGAGGGCCGGCAATGGAGGAGGGGCGTACCAAAGAGACCATCTTATCACAAGCAGAACTGGTTTGTTCCACTTTGGAGTAAGTTGTTGTGGGAAGAATCAGTTTTGTTGTGTGTTTCCTTGGCTGATGAAGCCTTCCGGATCAAAGGTGAAACGTTTCAGCACAAAAAAAGAAACTGTCCAGATGACCTGACTGAAAAATGTTGGATTTTATACCTGGATTATTGAGCATGGACTTTGTTACATTCACTAATATTAAACCACTATACATTTGTGTGACACGGAATGTTTGTTTTTTTTGTTGTTTTCTCAAATGAACAATGTCCGTGTTCGTACACGTGTTGATCATTGTTAGACTGTTCTAATTGTGCTGAATCTGTATTATTCCACCGGAGTCAAGTAAACTCCAGGACTGACTAGATGCATTGATCAAGTGGGCCAATACATTGACAGTCGCAGCAACATCAACATAGCACACATACATTCCTGAGGTAATATGGACAATGTTCGGTTTAAAAAAAATACTTGGCAAACCAAACAAACTGCATCATTCCAAAGTGTAGAGGCTTAATATGAGCTGATGTTCTTTCAGAGGAGCAATTGCTGCATACCTCATTACTTAAGTTTTGGTCACTATTTTTAATGATTTACCTGCAAATATATATATAAAAAACAATAAACATATAAACACCTGTAACATCCCAGTTATTGTCTTGCTAATTTGAATTGGCCGAACTCTACACAGAAAGGCTGTATTCTGTCTTTAAGACCCGATTTGCATGTGATAACCTTTTGCTTGCTTTTTGGCAACATGACTGTTTAGTGGTTAGCACTGTTGTCTCACAGCAAGAAAGTCCTGGGTTCAATCCCAGATTGGACCTGAGGTTGTTCTGTGTAGGGTTTGCATGTTCTCCTCGTGTTTGCATGGGTACTCCAGTTTTCTCCCACAGTCTAAGAATGTTAGGTTGCCTTCAGGTCCAGGTTGGGCCCAGGCCACCCTTGCAAAAGAAATCTGTGATCTCAGTGGGATTTGGCTGTTTAAAAAAGGGTTAATAAATAAATAAAAAAATTAAAGTATTTATTTATGATTGTATTAATTAGACTTGTTCAAAGCTTGTGCTACTGTAGATCATGACATCTTATGCCATAAGCTGTCATATACTGGTTTTTCAGATCACACTGTTGGTTGGATTTCTAATTGTCTCTCAGTTCGGCAATGTGTTCGACACAATGACACTTTGTCTAGCTATTTAACGGTCACGATGGTGTGCCACAAGGCTCAGTTTTAGGACCCACTCTTTTTACAATTTATATAAATAATGTAGGTCAAAACATTTCTGACGCTTCTTTGCATGTCTATGCTGATGATGCAATTGTTTGTTGTCAAGCTAACACAGTTGCCAAGGTTTTCCCGCTTCTACAGTCTGCATTTGAGACCATTCGGTCTGACTTGTTCCATCTCAAACTGGTGCTAATGCTGATAAAATCAAGGGGATGTTGTTTTTATACAAAAAGTTGGTGCCAGCAGCTCTTCCCCCATCTCATCCATGCTTTGTGTTCCTATTGAGTTTGTGGATTCTTACAAATACTTGGGGGTTTCTATTGATGCACATCTCTTATGTTGAAAGCTTGACAAAGAAACTGAAATTGAAACTGTTTTTTTTTTTTTTTTTTTTCAGAAATCGATCTTGCTTAACTCTGAATTCAAGGAAACGCCTTGTAGCTGCTACTTTCCTACCTACCAGCCATTGACTTTGGTGACATTATTTACATGAATGCCCCTGCCAGCTCCTTGCAGATGTTGGATGCTGTCTATCATGGTGCGCTAAGATTCATAACTGGCTGTAACTACAGTGCACAGTACCCATCACTTATTGGTCAGTTGGTTATCATTAACTTCACGCAGGCTCTCACACTGGTTCATTTTCATCTATAAGTCACTTCTTGGTCTGCTGCCTTCATATAGCTCCCCCCACATGTCACGTCATCAGTGCAGTTATGGCGTGCACTCTCAGGGGTTCATTACCTGCAGCGTTCCCTTAGTGCAAACCGAACTCATCAAAAAGGCCTTTTCTTACTCTGCTCCTGTTTCCTGGAAAACCTTGCAAAAATACCTGAAACTGTCCACCTTGATTTCTTTAAGGAATTTTAAACATTTGATAATGTCAATAGAAATATCAAAGGAAATATGTTCTTGTTTTTAGTATCTTGTTTTATATGGCATCTTGATTTGACTGTTTGTAACTTCTTTTATTTGATTTTAATTGTTTTTTGTTGAGTTACTGTTGTCTGCACTTTATATGTTATCTGTCTACAACACGCCTCTCTTGTAAACGAGTCCTCATGAGACTAACCTGTATAGGCCTAAATAAAAGTTGAATGAAAAAATGTGTCTGCCTTTATTTTGTACCCCTCTTTTCATTTTTACACTCCCTCGTCATGTATAATGAGGTTTTGTATCATGACATAAGCGGTTAGAAGTTTGGGATTCCTCGATCATGTTCTCGGGCAGCACGGTGGCGCAACTGGTAGAGCTGCTGCCTCTCAGCGAACAGGTCCTTGGTTCAAACCCCGGTCCAGGGGCCTTTCTGGGTGGAGTTTGCATGTTCTCTCCGTGCATGCGTGGGTTTTCTCCGGGTACTCCGGTTTCCTCCCACAGACCAAAAACATCCATGTTAGGCTGATTGGTAACTCTAAATTGTCTCTAGGTGTGAGTGAGAGAGTGAATGGTTGTTTGTCTCGTTTGTCTCTATGTGTCCCTGTGATGGACTTGCGACCTGTCCAGGGTGTACCCCGCCCCAGCGACCCCCGTGACCCAAAATGGAATAAGCAGGTAAAGATAATGGATGGATAGATGGATCATGTTCTCTTTGATTTGTTCTAACTCCATAAAGAAAGAAAATCTTAAGGTTTCTCCAAAACACCACTAGATGGAAGCAGAGTAATATGCACGGTTCTCCACGGTGGACTTTTGGATCTTGAATCCAGGGAACTCCACCTGGATGTGGGCCGGACTTTTCAAAGCCTTGTCTTGAAAGTGAAAATGGTTCCCGAGTGTTTGTTTGATTACGACCTCGATTGCTCTGGACAAGTCGGTTTCACGTCAGAGAAGAGTGCACGACGTGTTGCTTAGGGAATACAATGAGACGGAACTTGTGAGCGTGCACGGCACGTATGGAAGGACGGGACCAGAGCGGCGGGGAGCCGCCCTCTTCGCAGCGGGCAGCAGAGGAGAGGAGCTCCGGCAGCCAGGAGCCGGAAGTCCGCTGCTGGAGGAGGAGGGTGGCCGCGGTGAGCTCTCCTGCTCTGTCCGCCTCACGGCTCACCTTACCCGGGGTCATGGACACAGAGGGCAGGGTGGACGAGTCCAGACTCAGGATGCACATCTTTAAAAACGGTATCACATGGATCATACTTTTTAACTGTTGCTTCACAAACTCCCAAGTTTAAATGTGTATGAAAACAACAGGGAATGATTTAGAGGGGGCAAAATAAACTGAATTAAATCTTTATTTTAAAATATGAAGTCAGACAAGTTCAAGTTTCTTTATTGTCATTCGCGTCACATGTGGTACATGAGGTGGAACGAAATTGTGTATTCAAGGTCCTAGTTACACTCCAAAATAGCAAAACATATAAAATATAAAAAGAAACAGTGGATCTAAGATATACACTAAGAAACGATTGATATTACGCTAGATATGTGCTAAACACTAATAATAATAATACAGTATATTAAACAGCAGCCCGAACATGAGTCTGTAATGAGTAGATGGGTATGAATGAATTTTTCATTCAACCTTTATTTAGACAGGTTAATCCCATTGAGCCTCGAGGACTCATTTACAAGAGAGACCTGATTTCAACAAAGAAAGATGACAATGGACAACAGCAACAACAATAAACAATTATAAAACGTCATAATGCAGTGGGGTTTTTTTACAAATAGGATGGCTAAAAGAAAAAAGGTAACAAAAAAACAGCTAGATTCTAAGGCGAATGTAGAAAACTAATAACAGGAACATGTCTGCATTGGTCCCTGGCAGGAGTCCAACAGATTCTTAAAGCCACTTAGAGAGGTCAAGGTCGAGAGCTTCAATTGTTTTTGTAAGCTATTCCAGGAAACAGGAACGGAGTAGGAGAAGGCCCTTTTGCCTGGTTCAGTCCTCATTGAGGGAACACTGCAGGTAATAATGTCCTGAGAGCACACGCCGTAGCTGCACTCACGCAGAGACATGTAGGAGGAGATGTATGAAGGCAGCAGACCAAGAAGTGATTTAAAGATGAAAATGTACCAGTGAGAGAGAGTCTGCGTGAAGTTAATGATGTCCAGTTAACCAGTGAATACAGGGTGCAGTGGTGGGTACGATAATCACAGCCAGTTATGAATCTTAGTGCACCGTGATAGACGGCATCCAACATCTGCAGGGTTCTTGTAGGAACGTTCATGTAAATAATGTCACCGTAATCAATGGAGGGAAGGAAAGTCACAGATACAAGGCGTTTCCTAACATTCAGGGTTAGACAGGATCTGTTTCTGAAAAAGAAACCCAGTTTAACTTTCAATTTCTTTACTAAGTTTTCCACATGGAGCTTAAAAGAGAGATGTGAGTCGACCAAGATACCCAAATATTTATAGGAATCAACAAACTCAATGGGGACACCATTTGAGGATAAAATCGGAGGAAGAACTGCTGGGACCAACTTCCTATTATACAGCACAGCATCACAGATATACACAATAAATTAAAACACAAATTAGGCATTACACTATTATTATTTTTTAGAAAGGGCCATTTTATTGAAATTGTGCAAAGTTGTTTCACTGAATTAACCATAACTTTCAAAATAAAATAACCAAATCATTTCTAAAATTTAACAATTCTCACTATGAATTTTGCTCCCATCACTAGTGCAATGTTGATTTTTGCAGTCACTTTATATTAAGCATGTTTGCAGATTTGTTAGGATTTGCTTGAGCTGATTTAGAAATGTTTTAAAATGAGCCTCAAGTTGTAACAACAAAATGCATAGAATAATAATTTTAACTAACCATATTTTTGTAATCTAAATGACATGTTTTTAGCTGTAAGATGCAACACATTGCAAAAATATTATATATTTTTTATGAACTTTATGGTGTGCTTTTGAATCTTTTAGGTGCAGTTTTGTTCCTAAAGGATGATTATTTATTTTTAAAAATCATCTCGAGTAACTGCATGTTAAATGAACTTTTCTTCTTCCCTGCTCGATGCGTTTCAGTGCATCACTGGGCAGTGAGCGTGTAATCTACCCATCAAGACTGAGTCAAGTGATGCTTTGCTTCAAGGCTTGAGTTGAGTCACAATCAGACTATTCTATCATTTTATTGCACGTCAACACCCCCGAGCTAATAAAGCCCAGCGTGACTTCTGTGATAAAACAGAGAGCTTTTAGAAATATGAGTGGAATTTCTGGTTTGGTTTGAAAAGTTTCTCAGGAAACTTTCAGAGGACATGAAACGTTCTCTGTGGAACGACATCACATGTCTATGAGCAGGAATGTGGAAACGCATTCCCCCTTTTTTATGGCCCCGCTGACCTTAAGCCCCTCACTGAGGTAAACAAAAGGTTTTAAAACATAATGAGCCAAAAAATATATATCTTTTTTTCTATTTATTTATCTTAAACTCTAATTAAAAAAACTTTATTGAGATATTAATCAAATCTTTGGTATGGTATGGTATAAAGTTTATTCATTTAAAAAAAGTACAAAACAATTCCATAACAATATAAAAAGATACAAGAGATTTAAAATGAAAGGCAGCAGAAAGAAGAAAAAATCTTATTATATCTGCCCCTTTTTTCAAACATTTATTTCAATCATAATAATTTTCACATGATTGCACAGTTCCACAAATCATTCCGGATTAGTGCCAGTCTGGTTTCACTGGAGGATTAGAACTCGCACAAACCTCTTGCAGCCTAAAGTTCGAACTTATTTAGATGAAGAATTAAGAGGTGTTCAATCCCTGTGTAGGTGGTGTTAGCTGCTCTGAGCGAGGCCTGGCGTGGCGTTTCCTGTTCGGGATGTATCCGTGCAGCTCGACGGCGTTGGAGCGCTCCCTGCTGTGCGAGCAGCTGCTGATGCGTTACCTCGTCATGAAGAGAAAGTGGCAGCAGTTTCTTCCCTCAGCAGTGAGGATCCAGCTCAATGGCACGGACGGTAACCACACGAACACAGCAAACTTACTGAGAAGACAGTGTTTATTTATTTGTCTCCACCCAAATTGATCTAGATACCTTAAAGAAAAATAAACTAGTAAAAACATGTGTGTTGACTGGATCCAGCTGAGTTGGTCTCAGCTGTCAGGTACTTTGACCAGAGGGAGGCTCAGGCCCAGCAAGGGAGGCTCCGGCAGCAGACCCAGGACCAGTCGGAGGAGGTCCAAGACAGGCTGGCTTTCTTAGAGCTACAAGCTCAGGTTAGAACAACATTTTTCTGATTCATAACTTTTTAAGTTTTATATTCTTTGTTTAGTATATACATTTTAAAATGCTGCTTTACTGGTTCTGTTGATTTTCTCAATAATACCATATTTTCCAGCGTATAAGTCTCAATTTTTTTGTATAGATTTATCGGTCCTGCGTCTTCTACGCCAAAGCGACTTATATGTGTTTTTTTGGGTTTTGTTTTTTATATTCATAACACAATTTTTGACTGATGCTTTAAATTTCAAAGAACTGCGACAGCGAGTCCTCCCGTGCGCGCTTGCTTCACTCAGCTGGTGCAGGTGGAGGAACGCTGGAGAGCTAGCGGCTCCGGCTGCGATGGATGGATGGTGCCACGCCGCCCAGGCAAAATGAAGCTGTTTTCACCATTAAATAAATGCATAATAAATGCATAATAAACACATAATAAACGCATAATAAACTCGACGGATTCAGCGGTGATGCATAATAAATGCGACTTATAAGCTGAAACTTATATATATGTTTGTTTTTCCTCTTCATGATGCGTTTTTTGACTGATGCGACTTATATGTTGGAAAATACAATAATCTTCTTTTCCACCTTTTCTTTTACTGTTCTGTTGTTTTAACTTGGGAGTAGTAAAGAAATGTCCAAACAGAACTGAGTTTTGTTACACAAACTCACATTTATTTACTCTGGCATCAGTTGATCTTTTCTGCAGTTTGATGCATTCAGAGTGCGCGCTCTGACCAACAGCTGCTGGAGTCGCTCGTTCAGATAATTACGTTTCTTATGCTTTTCATCAAAAAGAAACATTTTAGAAATCATATGTTTACAAGCGTATAAACTCCACAAAAGTTGAGCATGCTGAGATCTGTCAACGAGGGACATTTATGAGAAGTTTACGTATTAAAGAGAATAAATTAGCCCTATATTATTGCCGTTAGGGATCATATTTTATTATTGACCTTTATTCAATCAGGCAAATCTGAGCTCACAGCACTCTTTTGCGAGGAAAGCCTGAGCCTCTAACATGCAGATGTTCAGACTGTGGGAGGAAACCAGAGTACTGGGGGGTGGGGGGGAACCCACACAAACAAGAGGAGAACATGCAAAGCACACATAAAGACCCCAGGCCCAACCCGGGAATTGAACCTAGGACTTTCTTGTTGTGATGTAACAGAGCTAACCACTAATTCATCGTTCTGCCGTATGGCAAGCATGGAAATTTAGTTGACACAATTAGATGGGAGTCACTGCTGACCTTTTTCTTTAACTTACTAATAAGTGATGAATGTGCCTTCATTAAGGCTGCACAGGTTTACAATCTATGTTCCACTAAATGATGCACATGCAAAGATTTTTAAAGATTTCAGCCCAATTGAACATCATGAAAACACTACAAGATACATCCTTTCACTATAATCAGCAAAAAGGAACTAAAAAAAAGGACGTTTTTCAGCTGATAACATTGTGCTAAAACTTTTAATTTGCATATTTCCTATTGTGTTTCAACATTTCCATCCTGTTGACAGATACTGTTTGAGCGTGTCACTTTTGACCAGGAGGAGCTGCAGGAAGCCGTACGGATCATTGATAAGGACGTCCCTCGAACAAACAGAGACCTCAGCTACTACCAGTGAGTTACTAACGTCACCATTTGTTCTTGCTTTACTTAAACTGGGCGTTCAAAGTAAGTTTGCAGAATTTGACTCTGGGCACAGAATGTTTCGGGGTTTAAATGTTTTTACTCTTGAATAATATTTCATTTGTACTACCCTGATAACAAGTAACACCAGAACAAATGCTTCATTTTCACATCAAAGTGTGAAACTTTGCGACTGTTGAGGACAAATCCCAATCTTTAGGTACAAGTTGCAATTTGTAGTAAAATGTCTGACAGGCTTTGCATGAAATGCTGCAGAGATGAAGGAGTGCATCTCTCTTTTAACCATGAATTTACAGCTCCTTTCACAGCAGCTGCTTTTCGTCGCTGAAGTGAGCTATCCCACTTCTCTCCACCCCACCCTACTCCTTTCTCAGTTCAAACAAGATGTAGTGACGTGTCTTAACCACACGCTGTAATAATTCCAGTCAGACCGGCTCTCAAATAGGTCTCTAGTTTTAACCACAACTGTGACCATGGATTGATGTCAGACTCGTATAGCAAAGTAAATAGCAAGGTAAGGATTTTCTGGCGAGCAGCACGGTGGCGCAGTTGGTAGAGCTGCTGCTTCTCAGCGAGCAGGTCACCCTGGTTCAAATCCCGGCCCAGGATCAAGTTTGCATGTTCAAGTTCAAGTCAGGTTTCTTGTTATTCTCATCACATATGGTACTTGAGGTGGAATGAAAGTATGTACACAGTGTCCCAGTTAAACCCAACATTAGAAAAAATATAAAGTATAAAGAGAAACAGTATATAAGGATCTAAGCTATAACTAAGATATATGCTAAACAGCATGCCAAAAGATCTAAGATATATGCTAAACACTAATAAAGCAAAACGACACGGCATAACAACAGCAGCCCAAACATGTTCACTCCATGCATGCGTGGGTTTTCTCCGAGTACTCCAGTTTTCTCCCACAGAGCAAAAACATGCATGTTAGGCTGATTGATAACTCTAAAATTGTCCCTAGGTGTGAGTGAGAGAGTGAATGGTTGTTTGTCTCATTTGTCTCTTTGTGTCCTTTTGATGGACAGGAGACTGGTCCAGGGTGTTCCCCGCCTCTCACACAGTGATTGCTGGACATGGGCACCCCCCGCGACCTGAAAATGAAGAAGTGGGCAAAAGATGATGGATGGATGGATGGATGGATGGATGGATGTGGATGGATGGATGGATGACATACAATTATCAGAAAGCGAAAGCGTTTTTTCTGACATTAATGATTTACAACTACTGTATGTTGCAATTTAAATTGGTGAACACTGTAGAAGCATCACAACGATGATGATACAGTACATATTTAAATGGGCTACTTCTGCATTTCTTTCTTAATAAACAATAAAGCTTTTTACAAACCTGTTTTTTTACAAACCTGTTTCGTCACAGAGGACATCCATCCATCCATTATCTTTACCCGCTTATTCCATTTTGGGTCACGGGGGTCACCGGTGCCCATGTCCAGCAATCACAGTGCGAGGGGCGGGGTACACCCTGGACAGGTCGCAAGTCCGTCACAGGGACACATAGAGACAAACGAGACAAACAACCATTCACTCTCTCACTCACACCTAGGGACAATTTAGAGTTACCAATCAGTCTAACGTGCATGTTTTTGGTCTGTGGGAGGAAACTGGAGTACCCGGAGAAAACCCAGTCACAGAGGACAGTATTTTCTAATTGAATCATGAATACAGTCTTTAACACACAAAAAAAGCCAAATTAAAATTAATCCTGTACTACAATAAATAATGTTTCTGTCTGCACCTGTTTAGAACTTAATTGTTGGCATTTTTTATATTCTCTGTTATCTTTATATCTTGTGATTCTTGTGTATGTTCCTTTATATTGAAACTCTGGCACAATAATTTCCTGCGGGATCAATTAGCTTCTATCTTATCTTATATCAGTGAAAAGTAGGTTTGTGAAAAACATTTTGTGTACCTGCAGGGATGAAGGTTTAGGAAATCTGTTGGTGCTCAGAAATGTCCTCATCACGTACGCAGCCTTTCATCCAGGTAAGGAGCTGACACAAATCAGAGTAGGTTTCTTCTGATGCCCTGTTTACCTTCTATTGTTGCTCCAGAGGTTAGCTATGCCCAGGGAATGAATGATCTGTGCAGCCGGTTCCTGGAAGTTCTCGACTCGGAGGTTGACACTTTCTGGAGTTTTTCTTGCTTCATGGAGAAATTTGCCCGGGATTTCAGAGCTGATGGCCTGCACAGAAAAATTGGTGAGTAATAAAATAAATGCAAAATTCTTTGCAATAAATGTTGACCGGCACAATAAATGTGTTTCCCATATAGACTTTAGCGAAACACTTTTTTCCTGTTTCGCCTTGTTACACTGGAAATCCTGCTGGTATTTTTTTTTTTGTACCATCATCTGTATGATGTTCTACAAACAAAACTAAAGTAAAAATGTTGCTTGACTATCAAGAATGAGCTGCTTTTGTCACAATAGTTCACCCTTTATAAAATGCCATAGATGATACTTTAAATCTTGAAATATAATAATATAAGATATAATCTTTGGTGGCACAGTGTTGTGGTGGGTAGCACTGTTGCCTCACAGCAAGATGGTCCTGGGTTCAATCCCCAGTTTGTTCCTGGGTTCTTTCTATGTGAAGTTTGAGTGTTCTCATGTTTGCGTGAGGGTACTCCAGTTTCCTCCATCAGTCTAAAAACATGCATGTTAAGACTGTCTTCAGGTCCACGCATCCCTTGCAAAAAAGATCTGTGATCTCACTGAGATTTGCCTGGTTAAATAAAGATTAAATAGATTAAAATAAATGAACTTCTGGGGTGGAGTGGGGGGTGTCAGTTTTTTTTTTTTATTGTTGTTTTCCTGTTAAGCAGAAGTCATATATTTCCAAAAAATCTTTGTAGAGGTCAAACCTATAAACATCTCTTACTCAAATACAAATAAAATTGATGAAGATATATTTAGATTTATGAAACATTTCAAATGCCCAAAGTTTGTATAACATTTGATGCTCTTCTAGGTTCCACCAAAAACAAAGGGGGAAAAAAAGCAACGAAATAAAAAGATTAGGGGCCTCTAGTGGTGAAATTAATTCAATTCAATCTTTATTGATAAGGCCCTTTAAAACTCCTCAACGAAACTGCAATACTGTAAAACAATTAAACATTCACCTAAATAAAACTAAAATAAAAGGGGAAAAAATAAAAACAGAAAAAAAAACAACAACAAAAAATATTCTTATAAATCAATATTTTAAAAGATAACAAAGTCAAAGAATAAAAGTTATGTCTTCTGTGAGGTTTTTGAAGCAGGTAAGGAGGCGCCTTTCTAATGTACAAAGACAACTTGGCATATTTTGACCCCACCACTCCAAAAGCATTGACCTCTGACCCTACACCTGATTTTGGTGCAGTCACAAGCAGCTGATCAGCAGACTGAGAAAACAAGCAGATATGTACCATACCATACCATACCACTTTATTTATAAAGCACTTAAAACAGCGACGAGGCTAACCAAAGTACTGTACAGACAAAACAACAGGTAACACACAAAGCAAAATACAAAATGAGGTAAATCAGAATATAGACATAAAAACGATGCAGATAATGACGACAAACCAGTGTGGAGCATACAGGATCTCAAAACAGATCATCTGGTGTTGAAAGCAGGACTTGAAAACTGAGAGGGAGGGGGCCTGTCTGACAAGCAGAGGTAACTAATTCCAAAGTCTAGGTCCTGCTACAGAGAAGGCCCTGTCACCTCTGCTGCGCTTAAGACGAGATCCTGGAACTGTGAGGAGCAACTGGTCCGCTGACCTCAGGGAACGTGGTGGGACATACGGTTGTAGCAGATCAGAGAGAT